ACTGTTCATTGAATACAATTATGGAAGGATGCTTTTGGAAATCTAACATGGTGTTTGCTAATCACTATCTCAGAGATATCACCACCGAGGACGTCTCTGGCATTCACCATTTCGGTCCTTTGGTCCTCGCTCAGCAATTGACAGTCCATCGTAGGCGTTAATATTCACCCCCCACGAGATTATTATATATATGATACATATATTCATTAGCTTATAACTCCATGGAGTTCTAGGGCTATGTACATATTTAGCTTAGGTTATTCAACCTTAAGCTCATACTGAGTTTATATTCAGTGTACAGCTACTTTTAGAGTAGCAGTTTATATATATATTGATATATCAGTATATTAGTAAGGTAATACCCCACTTATAGTGTATATATCTGATGGCTTATTATAAAGGAAATATCCTAAGTCTCAATGCCTTATGAAGTTCCCGTAGGGGTTATTACAATATCACTTATTTAAATCACTAATTATAATCCAAAGTATTCTGTTTTACCCACCACCTCTCCGGTGGATTCTACAAGCAAAAGAGCATGAGTCAGGATAAGGAAAAATATGTAATTTTTTGAGTAAAATTGATATTTTATACTTATCCTGACTCATGAGGTTAGCCCTCCCATCCTCCCCACATAACACTTTGGATTTCCCTGTAAATTCAAGTGTTGGGCTCGCAAAATCAGGAGAGAGTGAAGCATGAGGCCAGAGGGTGGCAACACCTGTTCCCACGCTCACGGCAGGGGAGGTAACTCGTGGGTGAGTACCAATTAGTGATTTTACATTGAAGGGAGCTTCAATTAAGGAGATACAAGTGTTCCACTATGTTCGCAAGAGGAAGGGGACAAGCAAAAGAGCATGAGTTAGGATAAGTATAAAATATCAATTTTACTCAAAAAATTACATTTTTGTCCAAATACGATTTTACTTGTTTTGTGGCAACAGTATGCTAAACACACTTCCAGTGAAGCAATACATAGTAGTGAATGCATGTGTAATTAGATCCACATAAATGTTTTCATAATAAGTTGTAAGTGATTCTATACCTTTTGTTTGACTAACAAAGCAAATTCTTTTTTGTTTCCAAAAAGCAAAACCATTTTCAGGTCATTCCCACTGAAAACTGTTTCCTGATTGGTTGATTCCAGTATGGGCGGTGCCTGTGTGGCATTATTATACTCTACCAAGCAAGCATGCATTAAGTGATTACTATGGGTGATTGTGTCCATGGGTGTTTAGTCACACTCCATGCCATCACAGGTGTACTCCATCAGCTGTACACACTGAAGTCGGTATTGATTTCTGTATTCCTGTGGCAGCCTCCCCAGCTTCATGTATCAGTTGGCTGATATCAAACTCATGGAGATATTCTCAATAACGTATTGGCATAACCTGACCTCGCACTGACCTAATACTGTTCAATCACATGAGTAAGGAGTATCCTTAATCACCTCAGTAGAAGCCTGGCACACTGCAGGACAGGACAGCCCTGTCAGTGGTCATTCCGAGACCTGCCTATTACTTTACCTTTCCTCCACTATCTATCCCACACAAGATAACAAACCATATGGAGCCTATTAAGAACCTTACTCCAGTATGCCCCCATAATCAAATTTTAGACAAACTTTCAAGTAATTATTATAGGCACCCAATACAAGCCTGAAAGTTTATATAATACATTCTGTATGTTGTTGTAAAGAGCACGCGCCAAGGTGCAAATTGTACAGACAAAACCATTTCGACTGGCATGTTAAAAGGTGAAACAGCATGGTAACAAATCTGTTTTGAGATATGCCATTTTAGTTTCTGCATTACTGTATTCTTTCTTAAATGGTGGACCCGTGAGATCCAGGTTAGAATTTGTCTTCAGTAACACATGCTTGTCGTAAGAGGTGACTAACAGGATCGGGTGGTCAGGCTTGCGGACTTGGTTGACGCCATGTCATCGTATCCCAAATGTGTAGATTGATGCTCATGCTGTTGATCACTGGATTGTCTTGTCCAGACTTGATTATTTACAGACAGCCACCATAAGGTGGAATATTGCTGAGTGCGGCGTAAAAGTAAACTCACTCACTCAGTTTTTTTAAATGGTGAAAATATAATCTGTGCTGATTTACATGTGAGGTATTTCATTACTACAGTCATGTTATTCAAGATTAAATGCAACAAGTACAATGTCCACCATGTTAAAGCTTTTGGTTGGTTCTTTTTTTGACATTTGAATTAATTTTTTAAATTATCTAACAAACCAGGATGATTATTGTGGCAAATATGGTAACTGGAGTTCTGTTCAAAGAAGCATTAAACTATGCTCAGAAACACGTGATGTTTTCCTCTGACAATATTTAATCTATCACAACTGCAGGGTATTGCAAAACAAGACTTTAAAGTTATGGAAGAAAGAGGGGTCAACTTTACAGTGTTGTGTTCATGGGGCTGACAGATTTGAAGGCGGAGGTGTAATGGTTTGGGGAGCATTTTCTGCCAATGATCAATCTCAGTTGGTTGTTGTCCAGGGCAATCTGACTGTCAAACAGTATCAGGACCATGTTTTCTTACATGGTGTGGGTGAGATGAACATTTGATGATCTAAGGTCTGAAGGACTACTTTCCTCATTAACATTTATTGATAAGTTACTCGTGCTTCAACCGAACATGAACCTGTTACTCGGGCCAAACACCATTATGCCTACCTGTTATTTTCGCAGTTGTGATGTAAACAGGTATTTATGCAATAAAACACACTTAGAATATGTAGAATACCACAAATCTATTTGTTTTTCTAATTCCCTTTATCACTTGCAGCTTTATATTCTAGTCATGAATTCAGTTATATCTGTGTAAACAATTATGTGAATATCGCTGTTAGAGATAAGCTGGAGCGTGGTTCCCAGCTGAAATGGCACCATGGTTGACCATGGTCAACCACGGCTTACCACGGAAAACCATGGTATTACCACGGTTTGCCATGCTAAACCGTGGTCACTAACATTCCTCCCCATGGTATACCACAGCAGACCATGGTCACCAGAAACCATGGTAGACCGTGGTCACCAACATTTCTCACCATGGTATACCATGGCATACCATGGTCACCATGGTATACCATGGCAGACCATGGTCACCAGAAACAATGGTAGACCGTGGTCACCAACATTTCTCACCATGGTATACCATGGTAGACCGTGGTCACCATGATATACCATGGCAGACCATGGTCACCAGAAACCATGGTAGATTGTGGTCACCAACATTTTTCCCCATGGCAGACCATGGTCACCAGAAACCAGGGTAGACCATGGTCATCTCATACAAAGTAATGGTTGACCATGGTCATCACATACAAATCCATGGTACACCATGGTCATGACTGAGCAATTTTACATTTCAAACTGTGATAAATAAACAAATTAAAATTGAAATCCTGACTGTTTGAATCCCTTTGAACATACAAAAATGTGCAACATTGGTACTTTAACTGGATAAATGTGACAAGTATCAGGTAGCGTGAAAAAATGAGATAACGTTAGTGCCTGTCCATTGTGAGAACAATTAGCCTCGTTTCATTGATAAACTGATGAAGGGGACATTTTTCACTGATAAAACATGGTGATTTTTTCAATAAAGATCGATTTCCAGCCCCCCAAGCTACTATGTGTACTATGTTACAAAATTCACTCATGACAATCAGAATCAAAACACACTCGGTTAAACAATGTACAGCATGAAACCTTTGCAAGGGTTCATGAGTGCAAATTGCGACACACATCCTTTTGAATCAATCCCACATCTCCATCCACAGTACACACAAGTCACTCTTCACAATATTCCTCCTACTCATATGCAAATATGCAAATTTCATGTCTTTGTAAAATGCAGGGTATAATCAACTCACATTTTATCCTTGCAAAACCGTAACATCAGTAGGTGACAGATTTTGGCTCCGGGAAAACAAGCAGGTTGTGGCAAAGAAGTGTGGTTCCTCCTCGATAGTTAATACCCTCGGCAATGTCACATTCAAGCACATGGGTTACACATAATTTCAGCAACTCAATATTTTTGGCTCTGGTGTATAGGGAAACACTGAATGTAAACCTTCACCCACGTGGAGATCCCCCATGTGCAAAGACATGCAAACAATCAGCCGATGACAACAACTGTATCACAACTCAATGAGCAACACCAGCAGATGTCCTTAATGATTACAATGACTTTACTCTCAATTATTTTATGCTTGCAAGAAGTAAAATCATCAATATCTATGTGGCAACAGCGTCATTAAGATGTTTAATTAATATTCTTTGATATTATCAAGTTTGCATTAACATTATCTCCTTGTTAATGCACGGATGTGGCAGAAACCTTTTCGTGGAGGGTCACCTTTCGCGTGTTTCATACGTTTTGAAACAACGCATTGTTAGAAAAATTGTATCTGATGGACACTTGAGCAGTTATCTTCATTTGACCCCATTTCTCAGTAATTGAACATTTGGGAAGGCGAGTGGGACTTGTTCAAGCACTCGTTGACCAATGGATTTGGAGGCAGTGTTCTCCTGTCCAGGTTACATTTTGTGGCCATCATGGCTGCTGTAGGAGCTCACACTGGTTAGTTCTACTGTTCCAGCAGTTTTATCAGTGGGAAGTTTAGGGGTCGTGGAAGTTCATGCTTTATTTGTCCAATAAAATGATGCTGCAATCCTCTTTCTATCGTTGGTATTTTTACCTGGATGATAACAGTATGATGCACATCTATTTTCATAATGATGAAAATACTACTTACCATTGTGGGATTTAGCAAGTCTCAAGTTTCCTATTTAGTTGAGTATATGTACTTTAAAATATCATTTATTATAATTATTTACTATCCCTCAATGAATTTTTGTCACAGTTGATTTGATGAGTTTATTTTGAAACCAAAAGATGAACTGTCATTGTGGCTGTTTCTTACAGAAGTTCAAATTTATCTTTTTATTCTGAATTTGAGGATTGATGTTGCAGGCAACTTGGTACCGCCAAAGTCTCATTGCGTGAGTTTGCACAAGGAGATCGCCAGGAACGCCAGCTCAACCTCAACCTAGTTGACGCCAACGAGCGCCCACTGCAGGTAATAACTTCATCTTGGACATGTTGTACTGTAGAGATATTGTAAACAGAATTTGGTACCCGAATGTTTGCCACAAAAGCTGTGTGTTACCCCGTTTACCTCTGTGTGTCCCAGTTTAGCTCTGAATTGCCCAGTTTTCCTCTGTGTTGCTCATACCCGTGAAGATCCGGGTAAGAATTGATCTTCAGTAACCCAATTGCTTGCCGTTTACCTCTGTGTGGTCCAGTTTACCTCTGTGTGGCCCAGTTTTCCTCTGTGTTGCCCAGCTTAGCTCTGTGTTGCCCAGTTTAGCTCTCTGTTGCCCAGTTTAGCTCTCTGTTGCCCAGTTTAGCTCTGTGTTGCCCAGCTTAGCTCTGTGTTGCCCAGTTTACCTTTGTGTGTCCCAGTTTTCCTCTGTGTTGCCCAGCTTAGCTCTGTGTTGCCCAGTTTTCCTCTGTGTTGCCCAGTTTAGCTCTGTGTTGCCCAGCTTAGCTCTGTGTTGCCCAGTTTAGCTCTGTGTTGCTCATACCCGTGAAGATCCGGGTTAGAATTGATCTTCAGTAACCCAATTGCTTGTCGTAAGAAGCGACTAACGGGATCAGGTTGTCAGGCTCGCTAACTTGGTTGACACATGTCATTGGTTCCCAATTGGCCAGATCAATGCTCATGCTGTTGATCACTGGATTGTCTGGTCCAGACTTATTAACAGACCGCTGCCATACAGCTGGAATATTGCTGAGTGTGGCGTAAAACTAAATTTTTAAATTTATCCTATCTCACGACTTGCACCGCTCTCTTGCTTCGACTTTTAGTGGAACGACTGTAAACTTTTTTCCATAGGCCTTCTTGTCCATTCGCCCGTGCACTCCATGCGTAGGCATTGAGACCTTCCCATGATATTGCCAACGCGTTTCCCCCTCCAGCTCTGCTACTAAAAGTAATACAGAAACTATTGGCCACCAGCAACATACTACTGCTTTGGGTCGCACCCTTCTGGCCAGCGAGAAGTTGGTTTGGGTTGGGGATGACCTACTTCTTCACCCTCACTCAGAACTGTGCCACGGGTCACATCAGACCCTCAATCTACACGTTTGGCGCAACTTCAGAGGTTCTCATAGCTAAGGGCTACTTTCGCCGAGTAGCCACAGCTATCACTTCAGCGCATCGTACTTCGACCTGTTCCTTGTACGACAACAAGTGGAAGAAGTTTGAAGACTATTGCAAGCTTAGGGGAATTGCATCTCCAACTTCCATCTCGGCTCAGGTCATTGCTGAGTTTCTCCAGCATCTCCGCACTGTTAAGAAACTCAAGGGTACTAGGTTAGCTACCTACTTAGCTGCCATTAACTCGGTTTTGGTTACCACCACGGGCACGAAGATTTCCACTGTTCCCGAGTTGCAGAGTCTACTACACTCCTATAGACTCTCTGACCAGTCCAGGAAGTTCAGACCTCCAGCCTGGGATCTGTCCGTCGTCCTTCGTCATATGACTTCTACAGATTATGAATCTTTAGAAGACAAGGACTTCGAACAAGTGACATTCAAGACATTCTTCCTGGTAGCTTTGGCTACTGCTGCTTGTATATCTGAACTGCATGCGCTTGATGTCAATCGGGTGCGGTTTGAGCGGAAGAAGCATGGCAAGGCTTTCCTGGGTCTCCGCTGGGACTTCATTGCAAAATACTGCCAGGGCAACCGGACCGGATGTTTACCATTCCCCCGTTGTCCACCATTCTTGGGCCTGATGATAATGAAGATTTGACACTCTGCCATGTTAGGGCTCTACACGTTTACCTTGCTGCCTCCAAGGATCGTCAACGGCTACGGAAGCGCCTCTTCATACCCTTTTCGAACGCTTCAAGAACTGAGGTTTCCCGGACCACATTGGCCTTCTGGATGCGTGCCATGATCCTGCCAGCCTACACCTTTGCAGGGTTGCCTCCTCAGGCCGCTTCCAATCCTCATGAGACTCGTGCACTAGCCTCGACGATGGCCCTCCATAGCAACTGCTCCTTGACCGCTATCATGGAAGGTTTCTTCTGGCGTTCTCATACAGTCTTCTCTTCACATTACCTGCGAGACCTGTTTGTCACGGATGTCCAGGGAATACGCCAGTTCGGACCTCTTGTACTGGCTCAGCAGCCTACATCGGCCCAACAACGCAGATGAGGGACGGTTCCGCATTCGCGTTACTACTTCCTTGTATATACTGAATAAAAGTTGAACTAGATCTCAACCTTTTGTTCTCATTATATGGGTTTAAGAACTACTTCACTTGGCCTCCATACCAAGGCATCGGAATACACCCACCTAGCGTGGCCCTACGGACCTGAGGCACAATCATTATGACGATGCAGAGGGGTTCGACATTCACGCTTACTGACCTCTACTCCACGGAGCAATTACGTCAGTAAAGTGTGACACTCCCGAATTCCAGTGGATTTCGTTGCATTCTGCTTCCAAAGTTGCCGGGCACATCTTTTGACTAAGCTTAGACAAAGGAGTGAGGGTCAATTTGATGCTGCCCGGAACTGAACGTTAAACCTTGGAGATGCTGAGTTGTGTTTCTCTTTCACCCGCCTTGGTCGGTATCTGGGGGGCCTTTTTGAAGCAGGGGCTGGCCCGATTCTAGTCGCAAGACTTTAATTACGGGGGTACCTTGTAAATTGTGTCGAGGCGAGGCTTACTTGCCGAGTTGCGTCCCTTGGGAGTCGTTCTGCTTAGTAAGCCAAGGGGTTCCGGAGAACCCACTACAAGCATAGGAGTTGCGTGCATGTGTCACAGGCCTCCCTTGTACATTGCTATCTATGGTTGTCATCAGTCCACACAGCTCCAAGACCAGCTGTTCGCACTGTCCAGACAGAAGGGTAATCTGCGGCCCGCCGTCCAACTGTGGGATAAGTGCAAGTCGTGAGATAAGATAAGTTTTAAAATTTGGAAATTTTGATATACATTGTATATTTATATACTTATCCTATCTCATGCGATGGATGCCCGCCCGGCCTCCCCACTACTCAGATTACAACGTTGACTCCAAGATGAGAATGATCATTCAAGGTAGTCACCTGGGCAATTAGTGGAGCATGCTGCAAGCTTTATTAGGAACTAGGAAGCTAATTAAGGAGAGCAGCATGGAGTGGACGGGCGAATGGACAAGGAGGCCTATGGAAAAAAGTTTACAGTTGTTCCACTAAAAGTCGAAGCAAGAGAGAGGTGCAAGTCGTGAGATAGGATAAGTATATAAATATACAATTTATATTAAAATTTCCAAACTCACTCACTCACTCACTCACTCACTCACTGTGTTGCCCAGTTTAGCTCTGTGTGACCCAGTTTACCTCTGTGTTACCCAGTTCACTTGTCTGTTAGCCAGTTCGCCTGTATGTAGGTAGACAGTAGATGAAATAGTAAACAGTATGCGGGTTGGTAGACCAATAGGTGAAATAGTAGACAGTAGATGAAATAGTAGACAGTAGGAGGTTGGGTAGATGAAATAGTAGACAGTAGGAGGTTGGGTAGACAGTAGGAGGTTGGGTAGACAGTAGATGAAATAGTAGACAGTATATGGGCTGGTAGACCAATAGGTGAAATAGAAGACTCGGACTTGTAGACAGTAGATGAAACGGTAGACCATTCATATGATCAGTAGTGACATAAATATCTGAAATACATATTACATACTTATTGTTATTTTAACTCCAATTCTGAATCTGGATAATTTATGTTGACAGTTCCACTTCTCAATGTAAATAAGTAGCAATCAATGTTTGTCAATTACCCTGTATTGTAGTGGTAGACATGAAGGTTGTACGACTGCCTTAAATGGATCAATCAAATCTCGAATATGCCAACAGCTGGAGATTTTGCATCATAAAACACTTTGTGTGGCTGCAGTTTAGCCTTGTCGATAGGAACTATGTACATGGAAGCTGGCAAATCGGCCAGTTGGTGTAGTTGTCAGATGCGTGCATAGCCTGCTGTGTGGTGTGCTTACAGCAGTGGGGGTCAGGCAGCCTTCAGCCTTCTTATTCTGGAATATCTGGACCACACTGGAAGGTAAACTGGACACACTTTCCCCAACACATGATTCACTTCAGAAAAAGGAATAGAAACAATGGCACACAGACACTTTTTCGAAGTTGTGATGTGGTTTTAGGTGAGGGAATGTTGTTGTTTTAGTAATTATGACACAGTAATGTGAGGCAGTACTTGTCCAGCTGTTGTCCAGGTTCGGCAGCTCTCATCAGCAGAGCCACTGTTTTCGGACTGTAAGGATAGATTTCTACTGTGTGGAAGTCAAATGTAGTCGGCAATTCTCAAGGGCAGTGTGTATCATTGATCAGATTTAGTGTGTTAATTATCACATGCCATGTTAATGTTTGTGTGCTCATTAAACGTTTGCACATTTTGTGCAATGTTCGATAATAAGCAAATCTAGGGCAGAACAAGTGCTTGTCCTAATAGCTGACTGTAAAGGAGATGGGGTCACCAAAGTGTGACTATTACTGGATAGGATCTGCCAACTGTCTTGTTGGGGCCTAGATGATCATGTTTGTGTATGGATGTTTGCTGAGGCTGCTTATATGTGTCATCCTGGACAATGTTCCAGGCCAATCACCACCATTTCTCATCTCAACATTTTCATTTTCTTACGTTCTTTCTGGATATTTCAAAATTGTGTTTCATATTGTAATTGAAGACATATTGCTAACCCAGGAACTTAATGAATCAAAGTAGGATCATGTATTATTCCCCAGGGACACTGTCATGCTTCTATTGCAAGAAGGTGTGGTTGTGAGGAGTTTGGTAGCTAATGCTAGCATGGCAAGATGTTACAGTGACAGGCCAGTGAAGATGTATACCATGATGATGGCTGCCATCACACACGTGTTGTTGTATTCCTCACATTGTTTGTTCAGGTGTTGAATTGAATATAGCCAACACTAAAAGGCGTTTGCTTCCATTAATTTAGTGTTAGATGTCTCACCAAGGTATATGTGAGGGTTCAATACGAAGATTTAGTCAGATGGTTGAATGGGTTGCACATAAATGTTTAGCCCTGCTACAGTTCACTGAAAGGTTCTGTTTCTTTGGCACATTGAATTCATGTATCTAAATGGTTAAGATTCAGGTTACTTGTATCAAAAATATTAGCCAATGGTTCTGCATATTGACTGTGTCAATGTTAATGGCTTTTGTCCTTGAAGGATTGGAATGTACACTCTCTGATCGTACCAACCAGAAAAATGTTAGATGATATTCTAGCTTCATATCAGCCTTTGTTATTCAAGTATTGGAAAGGCTGATAACAGATAACAAAATAACAAATTCCCAAAGAGCAATATAATGTAACCATTGGCTGAGTATGAAGTTGGTATGGTATGAACTAATGGCCAGAGAGGAAGTAGTTTGAGAATGTTGTCAAGGACGTGTTTACAATGACTGGAAGCCCAACATGACTACTAGAGTTTTCCTATGTGACACTGGTCCATGTTTGTGTGGCAGGCCAAGGTGAGCGTGAAGATTACCTACTGTCCCCCTAAGGGCCAAGGCAGCGGAGGAGACGCAGGCATCATGGGAGGAGGTGAGGACTTTTTCCAAGGTCATCTTGTCAGTCAAAACAAGAAAAATTGTATACCCTTACCGAAAGTTATCTTTTATTTGTTTGGTCTTAATAATTACCTTACATGGACACACTCTTTTTGTATTTCTGAAAATTCTACTTGAAGATAGGGCAGCAGATTGTTGCTAACTGATCAGCTTGAGTTGATCAAAATGAAAATATAAATGCTATTTATTTGACATGGTATTGTTTGGGTTCAGTCAAATAGTGTTTGTTGAAGGAGGATGGGGGAGGGGAATCTTGTGTTCAAGTGGAGGATGTGTAGTACAGTAGGACAGCAACAGTGTGTTGTCTGAGAAGGCTTTCATCACTGGATGACCTGTCTGCAGTTAACAGAGACTACATTCAGTTAAATTAGTCAAGTATTATTGGAAATATTTGTACTTGTATTTTATGTGATTCTTTTGGATGTATTTTTCTATTTAGTTCAGCAAATAGAAATAACTTTAATCTTTTTGTTGTATCGTATGTTTTTTATTTTGGCTCTGAAAACAGAAAACTGAAAGAAGTATGATGTATGTTTAACAAGTATGATGAAAGAGGCCAGTATATAGCTGTCTATGATGTATGTTTAACAAGTATGATGAAAGAGGCCAGTATATAGCTGTCTATGATGTATGTTTAACAAGTATGATGAAAGAGGCCAGTATATAGCTGTCTATGATGTGTACAGGCACAGTGATTGATGATGTTGGAGAGGAAGAAGAGGAAGAGGCAGAGGAGGAAGAAGGCGACATGGTAGATGGTGCTGTAGACCCTGCTACAGGGCAACCTATGAAGAAGAGGAAGAAAAAGAAGAAGAAGAAAATGGGCTCTCGTCGCCTTCGTGGAAAGATGTCACAGAAACCACAAGATTTCCAGGTAAGTTGAACTATTCCTGTCAGAAGTTGGGATGCTGTCAGCTGCAAGATGTTGGGTTGTCTGTGTTTCACAATGTCTTTCTCCTGTAAAAGAAATCTGAAGTCTCCCACAATTTACTTTATTCTGTGTGCAAGTACCAGGTTATTTTAAGGGTGTACCCATTAGGATTTCTGTATATAGGGGCATACCCAGCTAATGCAAGAATGAACCCACACGTCCCAAGCTTATGCAAGTATGCCCACATTTCCAGCTAAGTATCCGAAACCAACATAGTAAAATATCCTGACCATGTACTGACCCTTTGTGTGCTGCAGCAAGCATTGGTCACTGTGAACCAGTACCAGCTACACTCCTGTGTCTCCCATTACATCTACTGCACAACAATCTACAAACTGACATGACTTAAACTGCATCAGGGCATATCTAGTAGTCTCGTAGTCAGGGTTGTGATGTATAATTTAGTCAATTCTTCTTTTTTATTGTTTTGGTAAAAATGTCTTAAAAAATTGTCCTGTTTTAAACCACAGACACAGTTTCAAATATAGGAAAGATTGAGAATTTACTTGTTTTTCTATAAACAGAAGAAACTAAATTAAAACCAACAAATTTATTTACTTCAAACAGCTGCAAGAAAAGAACTTAGAAATGTTTTAATACTTCCTTCTCATTCAGGGTTTTCCTGTCACATTAGGCTAGCATAGCTGTGATATTATTGATAGTTATTGTTCAGCGTACTCACTCATACATATCGCTGCACTAAACTCACTGCTAGCATCAGTCCAGAATGATGAATTTCATATGTAGCATTAGTTCTGCTTTGCTCCTTGATAGTTCAGATTAATAATGTTGGTTATTCTATTGAAAATAGGAATGAAGTGACGAGTTTAGGAAACATCTGTCCTATTGTCCACAGTGATAGTAATGGCAAAGCAAGAGCTATTTAACACATGAATATGTACCAGAAACATATGTTTACTCATTCCTGGTGTGTGTTGTGAAACACGCAGTCCCTGAATGGATCAGATGGCCAGATAGAGGGAGACAACTCCTTCATGACTTACTGGAAGGCTGTTTGGCAGGCTGTTTGACATCCACCTATATTCATCCAGAACTGATGGTACTTCTATAATTCCAGTCAGATGCATAGTTGTTTAACAAAATGGTTTGATGCACAGAAATTTGTTTCTGGAGAATTAAACAGAAGACTTTACTGAAAATAAGCAGACATATTTATAACTCCTTAGAAAATCATTGAAAGCTGTAACTGAATGAATACTCCTTGCAGTGCACTCCAGAAGTCAGTGAAATAGTTTTTAAAATCCCCATGATATTCATGAGTATATTCAGTTTTCAGTAACTGTTGTTGGTGTCAAGTGGTTAGGTACTGACTTGGTTGATCAGTGTAAACCTGCACACACTATCTACCACTGGCTGGCCCATGTTTCTCTGTATGTGGGAAAGAGATTATTTTGAAAGTGATTTATGTTACAGATGTCCACAAGAATCTGTTTGCCTATTCCTGTTGTTAGTTTCGCATCATCATTTATGTAACTCTCACCAGGCTTGGGTTCAGGCAGGTTGGCCAGATATTTGCTCATTCTAAGTTTGATTGGGTGTATATGGCCCAGAGTCAGATTGCCTTGATGAACATTGAATACTGCCAACATAAACACAACACTCTCTCTCTCTCTCTCTCTCTCTCTCTCTCTCTCTCTCTCTCTCTCTCTCTCTCTCTCTCTCTCTCTCTCTCTCTCTCTCTCTCTCTCTCTCTCTCTCTCACTCACTCACTCACTCACTCACTCTCACCACTCACTCACTCACTCCTCACTCACTCACTCACTCACTCACTCACTCACTCACTCACTCACTCACTCACTCACTCACTCACTCACTCACTCACTCACTCACTCACTCACTCACTCACTCACTCACTCACTCACTCACTCACTCACTCACTCACTCACTCACTCACTCACTGGAAGCCTTACACGGAAAATACAGGGGAACTGCTGTCCTAGTTTATGACGTATGAATTGTGAGTATGTGAGCTTCCAGTTGCTGCTGCTGCCGCTGCTAGATTGTGGTGGTATGGAGAGAGGCGTGTCAGTTGGCCAGCTGTTGCCATCCGCTGTGCAGCTTTATAATTACACCTACGTAAACATGCTACCTCCTGCATAATGGAGGCATTGTGACCAATAACACACATGCAAGTGATCAATTCCAGACTTTGAGTATTTTTTGTTTTTCTCTATTTCCTCTCTCAACTGATTAATCCATTTTGAAAGACATCTGTGTGTGTGTTGATAGTTACTGTCATCTGGTTTCAGGGTAGGGCTCTTTAGGCACATGTACGTTGGATTCATGTTTCACTCATAGATCGGGCAATATTGAGTTCTTGAGTGTTGTTTTCTTTTTTGTATGGGGTATTTCCTATCTTGAATTAATTTCACAAGTTCAAGTGTATCTGCGTATGTTGATTTGACATTTCATTTGTAGATGACACTAGAATCATGTCACATTAGTGTATGATGTGATACACTATGTATCTACTGAAATATCAGAACACAATGTCAGGTTGGAACAGATATTTATCCGTCAGCTTTTGATGCAAGATTCACTTCCAAATATTCCTCATGTTCATATTGATAGTTGTGAAGTAATCTGTGTGTAGGCTTTGTAAAGGCACACATAGAAGACCTGGTGATGTGTGGTGATTAGTTACATGCCATGTTTCTGTGAGGTAGCAGGGTGTCACTTGATCCCCCCTGCTGCACCACCTGGTCCTGGCACACACATTGTTTAACTCCTGATCTGATTAACAACAAACTAGGAAATACTGGCAGGAATTCTGCATGGCACTCAGATGTGGTAACTGCCTGCTAACTTGGGGTGAGAACATAAGCTAGATGAACATCCTAGAAAATACTCTGGTAAGTTAATCATCAGCTTCTAATTAGACAATTAGTCCACAGAGTCAACACTACTCCAGCCATTAGTGTCAGGCAGTGGTAGATGTAGCCATGAAGTACCAGCCTCTCATCATCTGACAGCTGCTGACTGAGGTAACTTGTGTGTACTGGGCCAGGATGCCTAAATGTCACACCAACCATTCTGTCATATTATGGCAGAATCATTCATTGGCTTGTCATAAAAGAATGTATTGAAGGCAGTTTGATATAGGAGCATTCAGAATGGCCCCAGCTGACGATTGGCAATAATAAAACATTGTTATGCTTGAATGGCTGCATAGAAAAGAGAATTTATTGGCAAATGAAATTGAAACAAGTGACGTAAATGATTTCTTGTAGAATATGAGGAATACTGGAACATGTGTATGTGAGATGGGGGAGTGTGTCTGGTGTCCTCACAGAGATCAGTCAGCTACTAAAGACAGCAGGGATAAAATCAATGAAAGTTAAAGTCCTCACTGAAAACATTCCCTTCAAGTTTATGGCTGTAATGTTTCTGGAAGAGTGACAACACATCTAAGAGACTACAAGGCACCGCAACAACTGAAGGAAACTGACTGACTGTTGAAGGAAAAGTGTTGTGGTGGAGAATCCATGGATGTTGGAATTACTGTGACTGGTGCACTGTTTTACCAAACGGAGATACTTGTGTCTGCTGTGCATCTAAACACGTCAGGTGATATACATTGTAATGGATGGACCTGCGACAAGCACCCACATAAAAAAGTACAACTGACCCTTCCTGGACCAGAGAGGTGTATCAATGCTTGCTGGATTGTACTAACTGCATGTTAATTAGTATATTCACGGTGGTCTCCCATTGTTGTATGCTGCTGGTGCTACAGTAGTGTGTGGTAACTTACTGTGTTCCATCTGCTGCATGTTGGATCTCTACATGTACACACTACTGACATTCCAGTGAGTAGGCAGTCCGACACTAATTGCTGGGAGCAGTTTACATCATGACTGTTATCAGGGCAGCCCCTTGGTGAATCCTACGCAGTCTTCTCTAATGAAAATCTCCATATGCTGTGTATTAAGGATCAGCAATTTTAAGACATAGAAGCAGATGGCAAATTTAAGAGGCTTGTTAAGATTGAAGACTTAACTTTGTGGAACTGAGGATTAAAACATCATATCTTTAGTGGCCTTGTGTTCTTCAATCAGGACAAGATCAGGACAATGATAACTCTGTCCAACATCACCGTTTAACATGGTTTTCTCAAAGAAGAAGAAAAACAAGGAGGAAGAAGGTGCTTCTTCCTCAACCAAAGGAGCTAATGATGGTGATGATGCTGGTGCCGATGAACTGGATGCTGTGTCAGATGATGAACCCAAAAGGAAAATTCCCAAGAAATTTGCGAGTGGTTCCAGCAGCCAGCGCAGTAGAGATCGTCTGGACCCAAACAAACCGCTCCACATACAGGTGGGCAGGGCTTCATGGCCTGGGTTGTAAGGGGATTGTATTAGGGGACTTTTGTCAGCTAATCCACTACTGTCATGTGGCACTGTGTTACTGTCATTAGACTAACCTTACTCCAGGATTTAAAAGTTTCTTGAGTTCATTGTTTGATGTCATGCTTAACATTCCAGCCTGTGTTCTGTACATTGCTACTAGTGTTCAAGAAGTTTGCTGTCTTGTCAGTAAGTTATCACATGTCATCATACAAGGTTGTTGTTTTTTTGTTTCAATGATTGGTAGTGTACCTTCTGGACTGGAAGTATTGCTTATGAGAGCTTTTTCATTTTGTTTCATATTTCATAAACAGCATTCTGTTGTGTGATATTGATCTCAGTTGTTGCAAACTCCATGAAATGAAATTTTAAATTTAATTATTTGTTGGCATTGCATATAGACCAACCATCGATGCATCAGCCAACTGTGAAAGCCCTCTTGATAAGTGTATGGTTCAGTGGTTAGTTTAGGTTAGTTGTAGTGGAGAGCTGTATTGTGCTATGTTTAACTGTGCAGTAGTCATGTTAGCTGTATGCACAGGCAAACTGTAGAGCATATAGGGCTGCGCAACACAG